TTTCCCTAAAAAGTTTTTGATAGATATGGTTATCATTTCCATGTACGTATTTATGTCACAAAACTCTTACCTAAACCTATGGAAATTGGAACAGCTGTTGCAGAACCATCGACTACCTCACCAGAACAACCGATTGATAAGCCAGAGCCCATTAACGATGACAAAAAATCGATACAATTATCACCTAGTGTTTTAAATATCGAAAAGAAACATTTGCCATGGGATGGGAAAGAGGTAGAAATAATTGTATTAGACAGTGATTCTGAAAAGGACGATGATATGACTATTGAAAAGGGTAACAAAGTTCTAACGGAGGTGGTCAGCACGCGGGATCCTGACAGTGATGCAGCTTCTAAGGTGAACAATGACAATAATATGGTGCTGGACTGTGATGATGAATACATCTACATCTACGACGATGATGACGAACATGCATATCTAGACCAACAGCAACAGGAAGAACAGAGGATTTTAGAGGTTGAATCTGACGAGCTTTTCTTAAAAGACGATCCACAAGGTAAATATCATTTTATCATACTTTTCAAAACCTGACATGTCTTAATGTGTAAATCATCAAATATTATTTTCTAAAGATTTGATGCAAGACATACAATCAGCAATATTTTATTGGCATTGGGATGAAGACGTGAAGAAAAAGTTACCGATGGCTCCATTAATAAATGACGATTTTACACTTTACTTACAACTTCAGAATGCAATATCCAGATCTACACTTAGTCCTGAAGCTGTTGAAAAACTTAAAAGGGAACTGCCTCCGATACCGGAAGGAAAACTTGACGCTCGTGAATCATGGGACAATTACTTTAAATTTAGAAAAGAATATGCTATTAACAAACGCATGGCTCAAAGGCAAGTTATATAATCTAGAGTTACATTTATCTCTGTATAACATTTTGATTTACCTTATTGTATTACAGGGATTCCGATGATGAGCGTTATGAAAAAAATTATATTGGAGATAGTGATGATGATGAATTGACTTATGCTTCTGGAAGTAAAACTTCATCACGCCCCAAAAAAAAGATTTAAAGAAACTGCTGAAGTAATTGAACAACGCAAAGAAAGAATGGCGCTTGAACAGGGATACAGTAGGCGTTATGCAGAGTAAGCTATGATTTGGTTACTTTATGGTGGTTTGGTGTAATTGTTAACAAACCTGATTTACTTGAGATTTACAGGCAGGAAAAACTTGCAGACCCAAAGGATGGGGTATGAATAATTTAATGTCTTTGAATTTGATGTCAAAAATGCTATACTTTATATTTTTCTTTAAATTTCATAGGTCATTATTAACCTTGGACATCTTGAAAACGAAGACAACATCTACATTCCTGATTCATTAAGTAAAAAATTGAAGCCTCATCAGGTAATAATTGGCGTATAAATATATGTTGAACTCTCACAAAAGCTGTATACATGGCGGATAGACTTTACATTAGTTTTTGATGTTATCAGATTTTTAAAAAATTATAAACAATTAGATTGATGTATCAGGACAGATCCGGTAAATTGACTTTTTATCGGATTAGGCTGTGGAAGTTCAACAGTATTTAAAATTAGTAGTCATTAACTTGTTTCCATAAGACTATATAATAGTTACTATTTATTTATGTAGATCGAAGGCGTACGGTTTCTGTGGAAGAATATAGTCATGTTTAACAAAGGGTGTGTTCTCGCACATTCCATGGGTTTAGGTAAGAGTTTTGTGACATAAATACGTACATGGAAATGATAACCATATCTATCAAAAACTTTTTAGGGAAA